CTTTGGACAGCATGGTCACTGATTTTTCTTCTGAATTAAAATTCTCTGATTCCATGATGTTGTCTATAATATTGTGTGGATGTGTGTGTGGATGTGTGTGTATATATATATATAGATATATATAGATATATAGATATATAGATATATATAGATATAGATATAGATATATAGATACAGATATATATGTGTGTGTGTGTGTGTATATACATATATATGTGTGTGTGTGTATATATATACATAGATATACATATATATAAACATATATATGTGTGTGTATATATATATATATATATATATATATATATATATATATATATATATATATATATATATATCAACATACAACTACAACACATTAAATATACCCAAAATCTGCTTGAACATGAAAAAGCAATGTCCCAGATTCCTAAGTAAGAGAAGGGATCCAGAAAGAGGGGAGAGGGTAGTCAACAGTGCTGAGTACTGCTTAGAGACAAAGAGGATGAGGATAGGTCTCTGGATTTGGCCATAAGTACTGACAACCTTGAAGAGGTTAACTTCAGTATCACAGAGAGTCAAAGTTGGAAGGGACTTCAGGGGTCATCTAACCAGTGTCTAAATAATCCCTTCTACCATAGAATCAGCAAGAGGTCAACCATCTTTGGTTTGAAGATTTCCAGGAAGAGGAAACCTGCTTCCTCCGGAGACAGCCCATTGTACTTCATTCAGTTATAATACGCATGACTATTTACAGTCATAGCTTTGGGGCTGGTAAGGACCTTTGAGGTCATCTTGTCAAATCCCTCTCATTTTACAGATGAGGAGACGGAAGCCCAGGGAAGTGGATTACCTTGCCATAGGTCACACAAGTAGTAAATGACAGAAATGGGATTCAAACCCAGATCCTCTATTTCCAAAACCAGTGTTCTTTCCACTGTGTCATGCTGGACAGGAATTTTTTGAATGACCTTAAGCCTAAATCTGCCTCTTTGCAAATTTCCTCCATTACTTCTCAAAGGGCCTCAGAGGATGGGTATGACAAGCTTATTTCTTCCATCAGTCAGCCCTTAATAAAGATAACCTAAAAGATCATAGACAGGCAGCTAGGTGGCTCAGTGGATAGAGTGCCGGCCCTGGAGTCAGGAGGACCTGAGTTCAAATCCAGCCTCAGACACATAACACTTACTAGCTGTGTGACCCTGGGCAAGTCACTTAACCCCATTGCCTAGCTGCCCCTCCCAAAAAAAAAAGATCATAGACATGGGCATGACTCTCAATTACCTAGCCCACATATAGCCAGCCCCAGAGAGTGCTTCACATTTGCCCTACTTAGAGGCAGCTGGTGGTACAGCACGCACAGCACTTGGCCTGGAGCCAAGAAGATCTGAGTTCAAACCCAGTCTTGAATCACTTATGAACACTACAATCCTGGGCAAGTCACTTAATCTCTGACTGCCTCAGTTTTCCCATCTGTAAAATGAGAATTATAATAGCACCTACCTCACAGTGTTGTCGTAAGGATCAAATGAGATAATATTTGTAAAGTGCTTAGCACGGTGCCTGGCACATGGTAAGTACCATATAAATGCTTCTTCCCTTTCCTGTCCCAGACCTCTTGCCATCTGCCACTATATACATCCTCTCTGTGTCACCACCCCACCTATTTTCCTTCCCTTTATCCAGAAACAGTAATCAAATCAATACTCCCATTGGAAGGTGACGATAGACTGTCCTGTGACTCACAATGGCTTAACACTTCCAGTTATAGAATAATTGACTTAGAGCTGCAAAGGACATTAGAGTCTATTAAACGCAACCCCATCATTTTACAGATGAGGAAGCAGCTATGAGAAAACAATGGCTTTGCCAGGGTCTCACAACTATTCGATGGCTGCCATAGGATTGGAATCTAGTTCTTCCTGACTGCAATTCTAATGCCAGAATCACTACAGTATTTTCCCACTCTCTATGTATTGTCTTCCTCCTATTTGAAAGTAAGCTCCTTGAAGGCAGGGGCTGTCTTCTGTATGTGTGTCCCTGGAGCTTAGAATAGTGCCTCACACATGTTCGTTGTTCCGTCATTCATTTGTGTCCAACTGCTTATGACCTCCTGAACCATTGTGACAGTACTGTCCATGGGGCTTTCTTGGCAAATATACTGGAATGGTTTGCTGTTTCTTTCTCCAGTTCATTTTACAGATGAGGAAACAGGCTCAGAGAGGGTGGTGACTGACCCTCTTGTTGTTCAGTCATTTTCAGTTGTGTCCACCTCTTCATGACCCCATGTGGGTTTGTTGCTTTGTTTTGGCAGAGATACTAAAGTGGTTTGCTATTTCCTTCTCCAGCTTGTTTTACAGATGAGGAAACGGAGACTAACAGGGTTAAGTGACTTACCCAAGGTCACACAGCTTGTGCTTGAGATCACATTTGAATTCAGATCTTCCTGTCTCCAGGCCCAGTGCTCTATCCACTGAGCCACCTAGCTGCCTACCTCTCACAAGGCAGGTGCCTAATCAATGCTTTCATTCAGTCATTTAGTCACTAGTCTTATGATTTCTGAAGAGATTTATAGTTCTCAAGTCTGACTAGGAAAAAAAAAGATTACAAATTACTAACAGGAAATGAAGACATTTTTATTTGGAAAAAAAAGCATAATTTTATTCCTTACTGGCATTTATTACCACTTAATGTGATGTAATCTATTACAAAGTCACAATTCCTTCGATTACAATTTCATCTTTGGCCAAATTATGTTTCACTGATGAAATATAGCTGAAGCCAAAATATACATGCCCATAAATATGTTGCACTATTTTTATTTCTTAAGACAGAAAGGTTTAGAAAATCTGAGCTGATTGTTTCTTTCTGGGTAAATCAGCCAGACTCGGTGAAAACAGGAGATAAGTCTTAGACCAAAGAAACAGAATCAAGCTAAGGCAAGATCATATCCTTACTATCTTTTGGCTAATCAGAAACTAAAGAAGCAAAAACTCCAACTTCCAAAATCATAATACAGTGTTCTAACTTCTAGGTTCACTCACACACATAATGAGGATACACTATTTCTTTATAAGCCATTCCAATCTCAAGCTATAGGAGGAAAACAAGGGATAGACTGTAGAAAAAATCTATTTCATTGAATCATAGAGTGAGGGAAAGTAAAGGAAGAGACCTTGATACCACAACAAGGTTTCAGCATACACAGGGAACACCTTGTCCCTCCTTTTAATTCATCTGTCCTATTGAAAAGTATAAATCATATCTTCATCACTTATTGAGTATGCATTAGGGGGCTGCATTAAAACAAACACTATCCATCCCTGGATAGAACAAGATTTGACCCTTAATGACAGGCTAACATGTGTCTAATTGCATTTCCTTGGTTGTGATTGCAAGAGTGGAGTTGCTGACCAGCCTGAGAACTCCATTGGTGTCCAAGCAATGGCAAAGGGAAGAAGCCCTTAGTATATGAGTGCACACTCTCCCCACAGTCAGATAATTTTCTGGAGATAATAGAGAAGTGTTGTACAGGAAGTCTAGGCATGGATGGATTCCAATTCTCCTAATTGAAAGGATGAAGGTCCATATGGATGAAAACAGAGATCCATTGAAGCAATGGGGTATTTGGCCTTTAAGGTTGGCCCCAAGGTGATTTTTTTTAAATCATAGCAACACTCAAAGATAAGTTACAGTGGGGTTATGATTTGTGTCAGTGGGGGCAGACAACTACACTAACAGAATGACACATTCTTCAAGTTTATTGAACAGGTTATCACCATATTGCCGAAGGATCTGCTCTATACCCTATGCAGTACGACCAACAAGAAAGAGTCAAGCATGCAAAAAGAAAAAACACACTCTACAACTGTTAATAACTTACTGAACTGGACTCATTCATTTCACCCCTAGCACCACTTGTCCCGTCATACGGCAAAGAGAGGAAAATGGAACAGGTTCCAATCTCTATCCATCCATGGTCACAGTTTGAAAAGAAAAATCATCTTCTAGTATCAAAAATAGGTTTAAATATCTTGCCCATACGTTTCATAAACATTTGGAACTCTGTCATCACAGTATGATTCTCTGGTGTTTGGTTTGCACGCTTGCCAATAGATCACTCTTATTCGTTAAAGCCCTTGTTTTCCGTAAGGGCCTATCCCATAGACATCATTGTAACGATTATTGCCATTTCCAAAAGGATTGAGTCAAAGCCCATCCATTCACATTCACAGCAGAAGATGCAGCCATGTTCACATCACATATTCCACTGCCCCCTCCCCCCCCCTTCTCTGGTCCTGTTGGCCAAATGGAAAGGAAGCACAGTATCAAAGACTCGACCTATCATGGATTCACTATTTAGTGAGAGGGAGACATAGACGCTGATCATGATGGCAGCTGATGTTTAAATGGCCCTTTAAGATTAGCAGGTTTGCAAAGCACTCTATATCCATTAGCTCATTTGTTCCTCATAGGCAAACATTGCTGGTATAATTATTCCCATTCTATAGATGAGGAAACTGAGACTGGGGTGGTTCATGTGACTTGTCCAGGATCACACAAATAGTAAAACTCAGAAGTGAGATTTGAACCCAGGTCTCCCTTACTCTGAGCCCAAAAGTCTTTCTACCATGTGCTAAATTCAACTAGTATTTCTTTCCATTCTATCCTCATATCTAAATTAGGAAATAAAAGTTCTGAAAAGTGACTTGCCATGAACATAAAACTTGTAAGTGTGAGAAGCAGAATTTGAACCCAGGGCTCTGCTGACTCCAAGTTCAATACCCATGTGTGACATTAAATGGTAACTTAGAGTGACCTGAAAGCTCTGCTCATGATTGTAATTTAATATAGCCCCACCCAAAAAGTTCTCAACAAATGGGTGAAAGATGCCCCTGGTGTTGGTTTATGTGAAATACACTTTGGAAATAGGAATGTCAGAATATGTTTAGCAGCAAAATGGTAGGGGCATAGTGAGTGGCAGAAACCACTGGAAAATGCTAGACTAAAAACCAATCTGTCTCTTTTGCTTCACAAGCACTTTCCTTTTATTCAAAGAACACAGGTGGAGATCGACAAGAATTTCCAAGGACTCCAAAGGCATCTATGAACACAAGCTATAGAAATTACCCACAGATGTTGCTGTGATCTCATCTTCTTTGTCATTTGCTGCTGGATTATTTTAGAATTGGGTGTCATTGTCCTGACAACACTTAATACTCATAAGCCCTGTGCCCATGGGGTAAGTCAAATGAACAGACATTAATTCAGCCTTTATTTTGAGCAAGGCACTGTATTAGGTACTGAAGGATAGATAACAAACACTAAAATGAAACAATTCCTGCTCTCAAGGAGCCCCTATTCTAATGGATAAAGGTAATTACAACTGTAAGGTTCTGATAGGCAAAATCTTTAGGCAGACTTTGGGGTCAACAGATAGCTGTAAGAAGGAAAGGCAATCAGGAAAATGTAGTGGGTGTCATCCAGGCTGGTAACATCTTTCTGAATTCTGAATCAAGCTTTAATTTTGCACAGATTTGAGGATAATATGAACAGGTTTATGTACATGCTGTGTTTATATAAATGACTGTGAGCGTGTAGATGTTGTGTATGTACATATGATATCCTACATAGATTGTAGCTCATATACGCCTATCATCTGCCTAAGGATGGATGGCCACTACGTGTATTTGTGTGAACCCCAGCATGTCTTGATAACATGATAAAAGTCTTAGTTTCCTTGGGCTTGAGCCTCCAATACAGTATGAAAGGCTGAACAGAGCTTCTCTCTCTCTCTCTCTCTCTCTTCTCAGCACAGAGACCTGCTGGTTTTCAGATGGATTTCCTTTCCTTTGCCTTGGTCTTTGGTATTCTGTGTCTTCACCGCTGGGATGATTGGGCTCCTCAGGTGCAAACAGAGAATGTGAAAGAAGCAAGAAGACTGACTTCAGACTCCCATCATGGAGTATTTTAGCTTCATTCTTTTCTTTCTGAAGCTGAAGCATGTCCTTCAGGGGGCCTGTGTTCACGGTAACCATACAGCTTCAGGCTTCAGACAGCAGCAGTGTAGGGGTGGGTGGGGTTGTGTTCTTTTTTCTTTCCTTCTATCTACTGTTCTCATCACTGAGTAAGCTATCCAGTATACCCCAGGGCAAGAGCTACTCTATATTCTACACCAAGGGGTGAGCTCCATTAAACACAAGAGAGTGAACATAAGAAGACGGCCAGCTATCCAATAAGCAAGACAGCCAGTTTCCATTTCCCAGGCAGTGATGAGGAGAAAAAATCATACTAACAATATCTGTGAAAATATTTGGATGGGGCTCTGGTGGGGGCTGAGCCCCCAGGATGTGGCAGGCTTGTCAGGGTGAAGGGAAGCTGACCCCAGGTCACACCGCTGACAAGTCGATCCGGTTGCCTGAGTTGCTGCTCTTGTCCCAAGTATTGAGTTTGGTCGGAGTTGTTCCCGGGCGGGTTCCATTCATCTGAAACCCAAAGGGGTAGGAGCAGTGAGGAGAGAAGACACGGATGTGACATGAGCATGTTTGGCAAGTGTTTGAAGGGTTATCAGGGGAAGAAGGTAGGGAATTGTTCTGCTTGACACTAAAGAACAGAGCGAGGAGCCATGGGGAGAAATGACAGGGAGGAGGACTTCACAGAATTGCAGTTGATAGGCAACTCAGAGATCATTTAATCCAACTTTTACCTGAATGAAAATCTATCTCCTTTGCAACATGCCCAACGCAGTGGTCATCCAGCTTTTCCTTGAACAACTCTAGTGAAGGAAAACCCACTGCCTTCTGAAATAGCCCGTTCACTTCCCCTTAACTCCGCCAGGAAATGTTCGTTTGCTTGGTTTTTTCTCCCTCACATCAAGCATCGTCTCCTTTTGTTCCTGGCTCCGTCCTCTTGTGTCAAACAGAACAAGCCAATCACTCTTACACATGACAGGTCTGCAATTTAAAGGAGACTATCATATACCCCACCCTCTTCTCTAGGCCAGTCTCATGCCCAGTTTCTTCAAAAGAACATGCTTATATAGCATGTCCTCAACTCCTCTCATTATCCTGGTAGCCCTCAGTGGACATACATTGATTGAATTTAGTAGTGAATTCTAGATGTACATCCAAGACACATTAAAGAAAAACTATCACTTCCATAGTCTTGGACACTATGCCTCTCCTCATGTAGTCTGGGATTGCATTAGCTTGCTATTTGCTGTATGACTCCTATTGAATTTGTGGTCCACTAAAACCTCCAGATCATTCTCATGAAAACTATTTAGCCAAACTTCCTCCCTCATGTACTTATAAAAGTAAATTTCTTAATAGAAATAGAAGGCTTTAAAGTTATCTTTAAGTCTTATCTGATTAGAGTCATTCTAATATTCTAAATGAAATATCTTCAGGTCTTGACTATCACACAACATATTAGCTAATTTGATAAGCATATCATTTCTGCTTTTCTCTAAGTCAGCGATTTTTTTTTACTTGGTTCAATATAAGGAAGAGTTTCTTAACAGTCAGAGCTGTCCAATAATGGAATGGGCTGGAATGGGGGATAGGGAGCTCTTTGTCTTCATAGGTATTTGTGTAGAGGGCCACACAAGAATAAGAATCATAAAATGTTAGAAGTGGAATAGACCTTAGAATATACCTAGCTCCACCTCCTATTTTACAGATGAGGAAACTGAGGCCCAAACAGAGAAAATGCCTCCACAGTGAGGAGCTAGTACTCAAACACAGGGTTCTGAGTCTTGTAATTCCAAATGTTCTTTCTATGATATCTTTGAAGTTATGGAGGGAATTCCTGCATCTGTTAGAGAATTGGGCCTGCCCAATACTAAGATTCAGTGATTCTGTATAAGTATCACTGATCTCTGATCCTCCAAGGCATGAGCCAGAAAATTAAATTTTCATCTGACAAGGTATTTAATAAATGATGTCAATTTGGATTCAACGGACATGGTCTTGATAACAAGAAAGCCACGTTAAGGCAGCAGTGGGACCCAACTTTCATTAACACGCTTCTTCTTGAGGGGAATGGAGTACCCAGTCCTAGGGTTGTTCTGAGGATCAAATGAGATATTTCTAAAAGTGCTTAGCACTACGCCTGTGACACAGTTCATGGTATTTAAATGTTTATTCCATCTCCCTCCTTAGCAAATCACTTATCCTTTCTGACCCTCAGTTTCCTTATCTAGAAAATGGACATAGTAAAAGCATGTGCCTCACAGGATTAAAGTGAGGGTCAAAGGAGATCATGTATGAAAAGCCTTTTTTTCTTTATAAGCCTTGTTGTTGTTGTATGTTCAGTCATTTCAGTCATATTGGAATCTTCGTGACCCCATTTGGGGCTTTCTTAGCAAAAAATACTGGAGTAGTTTGTCATTTCCTTTTTCAGCTCATTTTACAGATGAGGAAACTGAGGCAAACAGGGTTAAGTCACATATCTACTAAGTGTCTGAGGTCACACTTGAACTCAGGTCTTCCTGACTCCAGGACCAACACTATGGCTCCTCCTAGCTGCCCCTTGTAAGCCTCAAAATTCTGTCAAAAGTGAGGAGGAATGTTAATGAGCATCAGCTCAGTATTCACATTCAGGTCACAGATCCACCAAAAGCTTGGGTCAAGGGTAACAAGTCAGCCTCAATTTGAGAAACAGTGCTCCATCTATCCTCTAAGAAGCTTTAACTATCTAGAGCAAAGAAAGCTCCCACATATATGAATCTTTGCCTCATCTTGTGACAGGACTTCCTCACTGGGGTATCCACTCATTTGGAAATTTCCTTGGGCTTTAGACCCAGCACTGGCTGGCAGGGGGTTGATTACATCCCGAGTATCATGTGGGACTCACAATGTCGGAGTTGAAGGGCTTCACATTGATGTTGCGAATAGAACTGCTGGTAAGGGACCAGACCTTGGTTTTATGCTTAAAGGCAGCTCTCACCTGTAAAGAGGAGAGGATGTCAATTAATTGGATGTAATTTCAGAGTAAAACTCAGATGGGATGCTAACCAGTCCCAAGGAATCCCTGGGACTTGGGGTCACAAAAGATCAAATGTTAGGTAGCGTTCAATATTTGGAAATGACAAGTAAAATATTCCCGTTCAATATTTGAAGTATTGTAGAAGTCTTCAAACAATAAATTAAGTATTTTTTCACTCACCCATTTGCTACTTCATTCATTCATTCAATAAGTTATCCATTAACTCATTTTTTTTCATTTATTCACTCACTATTCGTTCCATCCATTTGTTCATCTTTTCAGTCTCCTATTCTTCCATCCTTATGCATTCATTCATTTATTTATACAATCCATTCATTGACTTAATCCATCTATCCATTCATTTATCCATTCATCCACTCACCCATTTTGGTTCAAACAATAATTTATTATAAACACTCACTGTGTGCCAGGCACTGTGCTAAGTACTTTACAAATATTACCTTGTTTTATCCTCACAAAAACCCTGAGATGGAGGTGCTATCAATATCCTATATTACAGATGAGGAAACTGAGGAAGACAGGGGTGAAGTAACTTCCCTAGGGCCACACAGTTACCAAGAGTCTGATACCAGATTTGAATGCAGGTCTTCCTGAATCCAAGTCCAGGGTTCTATCTTGGAGTATTTCCAAGCTATCTTCATTTATATATTTGTTTATTCAGTCAGTCCATCAAGTCACATAGTTCCTTCATCTGTTAACTTCATTAAACCATCCATTCATCATTTAACTCATTCAATCATTCATTTATTTGTTTGTTTATTTAATAATTCAATCCAATCATTTACTCCACCCTTCATTTCCTCATTCATGCATTTTATTAATTCATTACTTTTAGAAAATATTTACTGAGAATCTGCCACTGCGCTGGGTGTTATGAGGGGTACAAAGCTAAATATAATATAGTTTGTGGCTTCAAGGAGGCTACAATATGGTAGCAGAGATAAGATATATATACATATATATATATATATATATACATATATATATATATTTATATATATATACACATACACATATACATATACATATACATAGGAAAAACATAATACAAGGCAAAATTTATTAAGCACCATAGAGAATGTAGAAAAGTAAACATCCAAGACTGAATGACCCCCAAATATGGAGTGAACCTGGGGTAAGCTGGGCTGCCTTTTAAGGGACTCTGCTTCCATACTGGCTACTGAGCTTCCTTCTGGAAGGTCTGTATTCCATTCTGATGCTAACTTGTCCTCTCAAATAGCGATGTGCTGCTAAGAACCCAGATCATGATAACAGTGACGTTTATGTTCCATTTTAAGTTTTACAGAACAGAAGAATGGGAAACCCAGAGAAATGAAGGGACTTGCCCAAAGTCCCAAACTGAATTCAATCCAGTTTCTTTGTTTCTTTCCACTCTACCTTGGCAATGTCTTGCATATTAAATCTATCTCTCATCTGAACTTCACAATAGCTCTGTGATAGATAAAAGCACTGAAGCTATTATTACCCCATTTTATGGATGAGAAAACAGAAGCTCAGAGAAATTAAATAACTTGCCCTTTGATGCTAACTAGTAAGAGCTAGAATTTGAACCTAGATTTCTAATAACTCCTTGTCTCTCGAGCTATAAAATTTGGTTATACAAGCCTTCCATGTAACTTTTTTACCCATACTCATTTTCTCCTAGGACTTCTTTCTGGTCTGAATTCTCCTTTGCCCTTTACCTGCTCCCACTGAGCAAAAATATGACCAGAAAACAGCCAGGATGATCTAAAACTCTGTGCCATGCTTTGAGATCAGTTGGCTGTTTTGTTACCCTTCTGTAGTGTAGTGTTTCTGTGTGCTACATTTTAGGAGGGAAAAATCATCCAGAAGTTGGCAAACAGGATGATAGAATTGAAGTTCTAGAACCAGAAGAGACCTTAGGGGTCATCTAGTCCAATGCCCTAATTTTACAGGTGAGGAAGCTGAGGCTGAGATAGATTCAATGACGTGCCCAGGATCACACAGCAAGTAACTATCTGCGGTAATATTTAGACACAGTTTTTGAACTTGAAGGGCACAGGACCTGAGTTAAAATCCCAGCTCTTCCACTTGCTTCTTATGTGGCCTTGGGCAGGTCAATAGCCAACATTTCTATAGTACTTTAAAGGTTTGTAAAGTGCTTGACATGGGTTATTTTATTGGATCCTCATGACACCTCTGCAAAGTACTGTCTCCAGTGAACAGTTCCTGTTCTTAAGGAGCTCACAGTCTAATTGGGGTGACAATATGCAAACAGTGATGTCTAGACAAGACATACACAAGATAAATTGGAGCTAATCTCAGAGGGGATGTACTAAGATGAAGGGGTACTGGGAAAGGTTTCTTATAGAAGGTGGGATTGTAGCTGAGAAGTGAAGGAAGCCAGTGAAGCCATAAGAGAAAGGTGAGGAGGGAGAAAGATCCAGGCATGGGAGACAGCCAGAGAAAATTCCTCGGAGTTTTGAGATGCAATGTCTCATGGGAAGACCAGCAAGGAAGCCTGCATCAATGGATTACAAAGGCTGTGGAGGTGAGTAAGGTACGAGAAGCCTGGAAAACTAGGAAGAGGCCAAGATATGAAGAGCTTTAAAAGTCAAAGAGAAAACATTATATTTGCTCCTGAAGGTAATAGAAAGCCACTGAAGTTTGTTGAAGTGGGGAAAGGGGACAATGTGATATGCTCCAACCTGCATTTTAAGAAGATCAATTTGACAGGTAAATGGAGGATGGATTGGAATGGGGAGAGATCTGAGGCAGGGAGGCCCAACAGCAGCTATTGTAATAGCTCAAACATGGTGATAAGGGCCTTCCCTAGAGCAGTGGAATTGTCAGGGGAGATAAGGGAGTGAGAGGTCATGAATGTAGAAATGGAACTTGGTGACTGATTGGGGGAATGTGAGAAAGAGTGAGGAGCTGAGGATGACAGTTAGGTGGCCAACCTGGGTGGCAGGGAAGATGGTGTTACCCTTGATAATAACAGAGAAGTTAGGAAAAAGGAGAGGGGTTTTTTTGGGAGGGGGAAGAAAATGAGTTTAGTTCTGGGCACATTGAGTTTAAGGCTACTTTAAGAGAGGAATCATATTTTAGATTTCCAACTAAATATGTGTAATAGGCAGTTATGAGTGTGAGACTGATGGTCAAAGAGAGGTTAAGGCTGAACAATTAGATCTGAGAGTCATCTGTATAAAGATGATAATGACCAGGGTCACACAACCAGTAAGTGTGTGAGGTGGGATTTGAACTGAGATCTTCCTGACTCAGAGTTCAATGCTCTCTATCCACTATACCACACAGTTGCATCATATATTCAGCTCATGTGATGAGATGACTACTAAGGTCTCTTTCACTGCAAGGTCTGTTTATGAAAGGTCACATTAGCAGTGGGTAGTACAATTAATGGCAACAACAGAAAATTCCCCATAAAACATTTTCCCTCTAGCTGCAAGTGAGATGCCATCCCAAAAAACTCCACCCTGGGGGACCAAGTCCCTCTTTATTCACTGGACAAAGTGGCTGTTTTTTTTTTCTTTGTTCATTTTAAGAAGAAGAGAAAATAAATGAAAGACCTCACAGAGATAGTTATATGAGGAATCCTCTTGAAGATTTTTCACCAAAAATTATTCTTCTCTTCAAGTTTATATAAGGAGCTGAAATATTCAGGTGCTATTAATGTTGCCCATGGGCCCTCGGAAACCCGTTCTTCAAAGAACAATAAAATCTCCTGTAATGTTTTCCATTTGGGGACACAGTCATTAACCTGCCCATGTGATGCCATTACAAGTTTATTTGGAAAACTAGAAGTTAGGAGCTGTCACTCCACAGCAGATCAACATATGGGGTCTTGGGGAAGCAGGAGGGGGCACCTTTCTCAGAGATTCAAGTCTAAAACTGGAGAGCTTTCTGCCGGAAGCCAGGCAAGCTAATTTGATTCAAGTTGATTGGATTCAACAAACATTTCTTAATCGCCTACCATGTGTCGGGCACTGCATTTAGTGCTTGGGAAAAGCAACAGACTTCAAGGGATTTACTAACCATCAGAAGGAGAAGGACAGGGAGAGGGAAAGAGGAGAGTCACGTAGATGGTTATGATACCAACAAGGTGGGACTTGGAACGAGAAATACCTGAGTTCAAATCCAACCTCAGACTCTAATCAGCTGTGTGGCCCTGGGCAAATCACTTAACCTTTGCTTGTCCCTACCTCCTCATCTATAAAATGGGGATAATAATAGCACCTACCTCCCAGGATTATTGTGAGGATCAAGTTATTTGTAAAAAGCTTTGCAGACCTTAAAGTGCTATATAAATACTGTTGATTATTATCATTGTTGTTAGTATTACTATTACTATTATACAAAGCATGATAAAATGGATGAAGTACTAGATATTTATTGTAGAAAACCTAGAGAATCAAATGCTATCTCTGATATACATTGAAGCTGAATGCCCCTGGGTAAGTCCCTTAACCTCTCAAGTCTAAGATCCTTCCTCCATACAACTGGGACAATAAATAATAAAAAATCATTTATAAACCACCGCATCTGACATTATCTATGTGACTTTGGTCAAGTCACTTCAATCAATCAATAAACATTTGTTAAGCACCTACTGTGTGCCAGGCTTATCACTTCACTCCCTGGTCCTCTGAGAAGCTCTTTCAATCATTCAATAAACATTAATTAAATTGAATGCCAGTTTTCCATTTATTACCTGTGTAATACTGGGCAAATGACTTAAGGTCTCTGGCTTCAGCATTCTCATCTCTAAAATGAGGTGGGGGTGGAGGGGGAGTAGGATTAACTAAAATAATCCCGAAGACTGTCTGTAACAGATCATTCCTCCATGCATTCTCTCCCACAGTTCCCTCTGCTTAAGCAGTCTTCATTCCCCACTTCATGGTTTGAATTCCTAGAGATACTTTAAAATAAAATTCAAATGCCACCTCCTCCAGGAGGGCTTCCCTCATCCCCTAGGCAATAATGACTTTCTTCCATAGGCATCACAAAGAACAATTCCTTGCCCCTCTCCAAGGTATCCATCATGTAATATTGTCAGTTCTAGCTACCCTCATTGATTTCTACTAGAGTAAGCTCCCTGAGCAAAGGAAACATGTGTTATTTCAACTCTGTATCAGACCCAACACAGCACTGTATACAATAGGTGCCTAATAAATGTCTATGGCATTGAGCTGCATGCATAGGAATGTGTGGAATCCACAGTGGGGATTTTCAGCCTAGATTATTTCCTTCCCCTTCTCTTCTTCTTCCTGATTTTGGTTCAGTGAATCAGGTAAACATCCCAGAAAGGCATTGCTAAGCAACAGGGACAAAAAACCCAACCATCCTTCAGCCCAGCTCTTCTCAGGCACCAAAGAGGATTCAGAAGTCTAGGGACAAAAAAGCCATGGCCAACTCCAAGTAGGGTATCATTTTAGCTTCTCTGAGTTCTGTGCTGAAATAAAAACCAGCTCATTACTACCCATGGGAAGCTCAGACTCACCTCAGAATTCAGGAGACAGTGAAATAGAAAGATGAAAAATCCCTGGGGGGAAAGAAAGGGAGAGGAGAATACAAAGTTAGCAGTCATTTACATATTTCAGAAAAATGTCTCTAAAAATATAGAACCCTCTTCAATGCATGGTCCAGGAGAAAAGCCAGGGGGATTTTGAGTCAGAGGACATGGGTTTGAACACCAATTCTCTCACTTACTTAGGAGCTCTGTGACCCTAGGTAAGTCACTTCAGCTGTGCCTCCATTTCCTCATCTGTAAAATGAAGCTAATAATAGCACCTACCTCTCAGGATTGTTGTGAGGGTCAAATGAGATAAGGTATGAAAAGTACTTTGATATTACATAATCATTTCATTTCTCTGGACCTCAGTGTCCTCGTCTGTCAAGTGACCGGGTTGAACTTAATGCATGCTGAGGTCATTTCCAAGTCAATATCTTTGATCCTACGACCTATATTGTTTTTCTATGGGCAGCAGGCTGTGTTTAATCTTAGATTTCCATCCCTCAAGCTCGGCATAGGATCATGGATTTCAAGCTGGAAGGGACCGATGAAGACAGCTGACCCTGTATCCAAGAAGCAAGCAGGATGGCAATTTTGTCTTTCTACCATTCTATATTTAAAATCCAACTTGGGGGGGGGTAAGGGGTGAATGTTTGTAAGAGATAAATGAGCATTAAGCTCAACTCCCCAGAGACAGAGGTGGTATCGGGGAAAATGTGCTCCCAGCTGATGGGGGCAAATGTTTTGTACTTCTGTTCTTGCTATATCTTCTCAACAAATATCCACTTTTAAAAACTAATTTATGTTTATTGTCTAAACCACACTATGGGGCTAGTTAATGATATCAATGATATGGGGGATGTATTAGTACTGGCAAGTGCTCTGGAGGAGAACATACTGCAATGGGGACTTAAGCTTATCACATTAAATAAGAACTGTTCAAGAGTACCCCTGGCTGTTTTCTGGAAATTCATCAGTGAGAATGGGAACTGACATCATCATCACACTTATGTAATATCAAAGTACTTTTCATACCTTATCTCTTCTGACCCTCACAACAATCCTGAGAGGTAGGTGCTATCATTATCTTCATTTTACAGATGAGGAAATGGAGGCACAGCTGAAGTGACTTACCTAGGGTCACAGAGCTCCTAAGTGTCTGAGGCAAGATTTGAACTCAGCTCTTCCTAACTCTCAAATCCAGCACTGTATCCATTATGCCACCTAGCTGCATATGAAGGCATGGAATAATGATGCCAGGGTCTTATGTAGGCTACACAGATACAGCAGCTGCAGTCCCAAGATATAAAAATAACTTGTCCAAAGTCACGCAGGTTCTAAGTGGTAGAAGTGGGATTTGAATCCAGGTCCCTTGACTGCAAATCCATTATATCTCCTTAACATTAAGAGCCCTTGTATTAGCTCTGTAAATGGAACATGGCCCTGAGAGCAGATGGTCATTGGGTAAGTTTTCTTTCCTTCTACCTTCACTCCCTAGGGTCACTCAGCAAAGAGGTCACTGCATTACAGCTGTGAAGCCTCTAGATATTGGGCTACACAGCCCAATTGTGTATGGAGGAAACACACAGAGAAAGCAGCATGGCACAGTGGAAAACCCAATGACTTAGGACTAATGAGATCTGCTTTCTAGTTCTTGATCCACTAACTTATTTTGTGGTACTGAGTTTGTTTTCTCATAGCTGAAATAAGGATCATAACCGTGCCCAGACCTACTCACCTTAGTACTTGTAAAACTCAGGTGAGCTCATAATCAATTAACAAACCAATCAAAAGCCTTTATTGAGCACCTACTCAATGTAGCTGTGCACCTACTGTGTACATGACACTGTACTCAGTCCTGGGGCTACAGAGAAAATGCTTGAAATAATCATAGACATAAAAGTGCTTTAAAAATAAGGAGTGTGACAATTGCCAGATGTATTACACGCAACAGTGGATAGAGTCGGGAGTATTTGAGTTCAAATCTGGCCTCAGACACTTAGTAGCTGTGTGATCCTCAGCAAGTCACTTCACCCTGTTTGCCTCAGTTCCTCATCTATACCATGAGCTAGAGAAGGACAAACTCTAGTATCTTTGCCAAGAAAACCCCAAATGGAATCACCAAGAGCCGGACACAACTAATTAGCTAAACAACAATAAAATTACATGCATGACATGTGTTCTATCCAAGAAAAGTGGGGCCAGCCAGCCACACAATGAGAACCAAGCTAGCTGCTGGGCAGCCTGTGTCCTTCACTGGGAACATCGGAATGGCAGGAGAAGGCAGGGCACCCCTCTCCCCAAGGATATTTGTGGACCCTGGTGGTGTGCTTAAAGGAAGACATGGATGAGAGTCATAAAGGATGGATGGGCATTGGAGGGTTGGAATCTGCAGCTTCATAGGGAGCGTCTACCTTATTGCTGTCTCCAGTCCTTTGCAGTGTTAAAGGAAGTGGATAAAACAAGGTGGGTGAGTGTCTGTGTGTACATATACATACATGGATATGTGTGTAGTAAGTGTATTGTATAGCCATTCAAAGAGAATTAACAACCACCATTTAGCACTGACATAGTTGGTTTTAACCATGACCTCTGTCTTAGTCTACTTAATATTTTTTTTTCTATGCATTTACTCTGCATAGAGACCCAGTCCCTTTAAGGGACCCTTTCATTATTTGCTTCTAACAGCATGAAAAAGAGTTCTGAAACCATCACTTAGGACTTCCTGAGTCATGAGATGGAAAGCATGCAAAGGAAAAAAGGATGGAAATGGGCTTTCAATTGATTTTTCAAGGAGCCATGGGTGACCGGCACCCAGGAACGGTGCACGCATGGGGAAGCAATGGGGAATATATAGTTCAGTAATATCTGAAGGTGGAGCTGGAAGGCCTCACACCATCATTTTTGGGAATAGCTGAAGCTATCCCAGCCCCTTGTCCATGCAGAGTTGCCTGTAATTACTGCGGCTGTGGATTAAACATGTTATTTCTCCATTCCCTGCTTTTCATTTTTCACTAGATAAAATCAGACCCTGAAGTAGTCCGACCCACTCCCCAAAGCCCTAGATTTGAGGCAGTATGCAATATATCTATTTCCCTGGCTATCTCTCTAGGGAAATGCTAAGCCCTTTGGTAATTGTTCTGTCCTCCTATCTTAGCAGGGGGTGGAGACCAGAAGGGGGATCTTGCGTAGCTGACAGGCTTCTGGGACTTATAAAGGGGAACAAAAGGTCAGGTTGACTCCAATAAAGACAGAATTACTTTCCAGACCATGTCTCCTGAGACAACCAGAAGCCTGGTTGCCTGCTGAACCTCACATATTCACTTACTTGTAAAGAGTTAAACACTGCAAACATGTACTGGAACATGATGGCGTGGTTATTCACAGCAAGCACACCAAAAATCCAGGAACTCCCCAGGATGGGCAGGAGCACTGCTACTGCTTTGGCCGTCAGCCTGAAAGATGAAATGGGCTATGAGCACGTCATAATGGAGCTGGCAGGCATGCAGGGTAGGACAGCTTTCGTGGAGTCACAGTTAGCCATCAATGGAAACGTTGTTTATTGGTGTCACAGAATCATAGAGCCCAGGTTCTACTGATACACTTCTCTCCTCTTAATAGAGGGGTGAGGGACTATAGGTATAGAGTGATGCATATACCATCAGATGTCCATTGACTATGATGAGTTGTTTTGCTTAACTTTTTCTTTAAATGAAAGGGGCAGGGGGCGGGAGAGTTGGGAAGTGAGGATAGTGTAAAGCAACAAAAAAGTATTAACTTATAAAAGGAAAAAAAGGAAACAAAAAAGAAGGAAGGAAGGAAGAAAGGAAGAAGGAAGGAAGGAAGGAAGGAAGAGGAAGGAAGGAAGGAAGGAAGGAAGGAAGGAAGGAAGGAAGGAAAGGAGGGAAAGAGAAAAGGAATGAGGAATGAAGGAAAGAAGGAAGAAAGGAAGGAAGGTAGGGAGGGAGGAAAGGAGGGAGAGAGGGAGAGAGGGAGGGAGGAAGGGAGACAAGGAGGAAGAAAGGAGCAAAACCATGATTTAATTGGAATAAGGAAATAGCCTTGCAAAAAGTCTGAGTCTGAAACAGGTAAGAAATTTCCTTCTATTAATACTGGCTCTGGAAATTACAGTCAGTCTTAGAGCATTACCTAAAACAGAAATGTCAAACATTCTACCTACAATACACTCCAGTGCAATTGAACAGATTAAAATGTAATTAGGAAATAATTAACAGAATAAAAATACAATAAAACATAGATAATGCTAACTTGAGGATTTCTAAGTCAATATAAGACCTGCAGGGATCTTTATGTACCATTTAGTGGCACCTATTTCTATTTAAGTTTGGAACTGTTGACCTAGAACACTAAGAAATTGGGTGATTTGCCCAGGGTGGTACCGCCATCATGTTTCAGAAGTGAGACTTGAACCCAGGACCTCTTAGTGTGAAGGCCAGCTCTTTCTCTGTTCACTAGGCCTCTTATTAATATTGCCTCTTAATAAATCTTTGATTGGTTGATTCTATGTTATAATTAGCATTTATAATAATAATAAATACTATTTAGAAACATACCAAATATTTATAAATATATCACTGATAATAAATAATATTTATAAATATACTGAATCTTTAGAAATATGTTCATTATAATAACAAATACTATTTACAAATGTACTAAATCTTTATAAATACATTGATTATACTAATAATTGCTATTTATGAATATACTGGATCTTTGTGATTCTATTTATTATAAACAATAAATATAGATATAAATATTAATGATGATGATAATATTCATCATTATGTAACACATATAAAGGAAACATAGTAACTATCTGCGAGGATCTGAAGGGCAGCCACATGGAAGAGAGATTCTGCTTTCCTTGGCTGGCCCCACAGGACAGAAATAAGCAAAATGGGAAGAAGTCAAGATAACGAGGTAGATGGGGCTTCAGCTTCTACATTTCTAAAATGAAAGCACTATCAGAATGTTAAGTAATGATGATGATGATGATGATGATGAGGATGTTGTTAGTAACACTACGGTGATGGCGATGGTATCCGATACACATTAAGAAAATGAAATGCCCTGTGTGCAATCCAGAATCCAGAGTGAGACTGAGTATCAATTTGACAATTTCAGTTCTATTACAGATACACAATGGACTTTTTGTAGAATAAATCCCATCATTTAAATGTAATAACTTCTGCTACTGAAAACATTTAAAATATAATCCAATCCCTCCACAAAGTATCTGCTGCAATTCCCCTCCTGGACCTTAGCCATTCTCCTTGAATCAGGCAGCCTTATCTTCGGACTCCCTTCAGTTTTGAATGATTTCTCCTCTTTGAGACCTCTTCTTTCATACTGCCCAATCATTTTCCATTTCCCTGCTTTTCTGCTGTCCCCCTAATATTCCAATCTTCTTTGAAAAATAAACATTTTATGCTCGCTTTATCTTTGGGGGTCCATTTCCAATTTTTTCCTCTCCCTGTGTTTTGCTAAAACCCTTCAGACATTTACCATAGATGTTTTAGGCTTTTTTTTCTGGAGAGCTAAGTTGCCCAGACAGACATCATGCTAAGTAAAATCTCATTCTTTCAGTGGCTGTATTGTAATGGGACCTTTGGATCACTCAATTTAGCTCAGTTTCCTCTCTCTCTCTTTCTCTCTCCCTCTCCTTTTAGCTTTGTTTTTCTTGTTTCCTTGAACAAGCTGATGCCAAAACAGATGGATGAACCCTAACAGCCATTAAGGAAAAAATCACTACTCAAGGGAACTAAATTGTATTGCTTTCAAGAATGAGGGTCATAACTCACCAATCAATGCTATTGGTTCTGTGGGAAACTTATCCTTTTATAAGGCACTCGGCCTCTGTGTTATTTCCAGCACCCTGTCTGATGCCTGAGACCCCATAAACCATCATTAAAGAAATTAAGGAAGGGAGACAGAGAAGTTATGTATAGAAACTAATTTTCGCCTGAGTAATGCATGAATGCTTTGCATCCCCCCTCCTAAACAAATAGACTCCTGAATCTGTCCACCTCCTGAGCTCAGACTGTGTGGCCTTTACCTAAGGGAGGGAGATACGTCCTATCAGTCAGGGAAAAGGGTATATTTATACATGATATCACATTTATATCATATTTATGAGGTTATAGATTTAGAGCTAGAAGGGTCATTACAACTCCATCATTTTACAGATTAGGAAACCAATGGTGCTGTAGATTGAAGATTCAGAGAGCCAACTGTTAAATTTTCAGTGTGAGCATTTACATCTCAGAAATCAGCAAAACTACCAATCAGGTCTTAATTTACTGCTTCATTGATGGTCTAGACTTCAGAAAGAGAAAATGCAGATAAGACTTCAAAGTCCATCACACATGTCTTTGTTTTCTCAGAGAGCTGATTGTTAAACATTTGCCAGTAAGTCTGATTGAAACCTAAGTCTTCCTGCCTCTGAGCCGAACAATCTCTCTGGTATACCACTCTGACCATGGTGCCTCTTACATGCATAACTATGATGCACAACAATGTAAGAGAAGTATTTTCAAAAGGTAGGAAACAAAAGTTTCTGTGAAGTATGAAATACAAAGTTTTCACTTACAAGAGGGATTACAGAAAACAGTCTTTGAAGGGCCTTGAATGCCCTAGTCAATCTATATCTGGAGAATTATGTTGGGTTCTTGGGCTCCTTGGGATGATCTTCTTCCATTGGAAGTATCTAAAGAAGACTACTAATAGCTTGTTGTGGGGGTGTAGAGGTGATATGTGACCAGATAGGCACAATTGGATTAAATGATCTTGAGGTCCTTTTTTCACTTAATAGGTAATAGGAGGCACTAAAGATTTGCAAGGCAGAAGAGGAACAAATCAGAGCTATAACTAGGGACAAAAGCAAAGTGGGATGGGATGGTGGGGCAAAGAGAAGATTACCTGGGCTTAATCTGCAGACGGCAGCAGACAGCAAGAATGATTTGGATAATGGCATTAGTGCCTTCTAAATTTCAGTAGCCTGGGGCAGAGCATCAGTTTCCCCACCCTAGTGCTGGCTCCTTTATGGATAATGAAGCTCTGTCTATTATATAAAAAGCAGATAAAAAAAGAAAGTGATTGGGGACCAGCAGACTTTCTGATGTTGTTGCAATAGACCAAAAAGTTATGGCAAAGGGTCCAAACCAGGGTAGTGGCTGTAGGAATAGAAAGGAAGGGACAAATACGAGAAATTTTACAAAAGTCAAACCAAGAGGCCCTTATAACTAACTGAATATGAGCTGGAAGGGGTGGAGGAAGGGGAGATTGTTGTTGTTTGCCCACGTTTAAGATCATGAGAGACTCAGTGAATCTGCCATATTTTTTCAGCAAGAAGAAGGAACAGGATTAGGAGGAAAGATGAAAATCCCAGCCCATGGTATCCTGAACAACAGTAGCCTATTTAAGAACATCTTCATACCTCTCCCCACTCCATTGATAAGAGACCTCTTTCCAAACAAATAGGACTTATTTATGAGGCGAAGCCTTAGTACAGGTATTATCTTTATTAGCTTTCTTCATTAATATTCAAAAGCCATAAGGTACTCAGGCCTCTAAACACCAAAAAATACAATTGTGCTCCCAGCTCAGCTGGCTGAGATGCTAGCCTTAAACATCACAGCCACAGTATTGGCTTATTTAGCAGAGGGGGTGCTGGGAGGGGAGGGTTGTTTCCTTTTTCTGTTTTGAAGAAGGAAGAAGCAAACAACCAGCAGTCTAAACCCAAAGCTGAAGGACGAAGTAGGTATATTGAGGGCATCAATAAGATTTTTGTTATTTGTATCTAATTTATCCTGAATATATCTAGTTTATACACAGTTGTTTGCATGTTGTTTCTCCCACTGGATTATAAGATCATTGAGGGCAGGGACTGTTTTTGCCCCACTCTTTTTTTGAGGGGAGGGTATTCCCAGCATTTAACACAGTGCCTATCAACCACAGGTGCTTAATAAATGCTTGTAGAATTATTTTTGGCTTGACTTGAACTGTCTTCCAGATAACTAACTAAAGATAGAATCTATATTTTTACCCCTTAGCTAATGGAGGATCTCTGATTCCATGGCCCCCATGCCTTAGCAGTGGGTCATAATGGGGCCTTCAGCAATTGGAGTAATCAAAGACACCTGCCATGGAGCCCCATGAAGAAGTTCAGCTCCATTCTTGAAATACAGTTTATCTGGCAGCCATATAAAATGAATGAAGAGGTCAACTGGTGGGATATGTGTTCCAGCAGACAATTTTTCACTGTTAATAAATAATCAATGATACTGTGCTTCTAAAAACCCTAGCCTGTCATTTTTACTGTTTGTTATCAAGACACACAATCAATAGTGAATCCATCCTTGTGCATGCTGTAGGAACTGCACAGGGGACTGGGGCTTGAGCGATGGGGAAACATGTTTCCATGGGTTGGTAT